ACAGTGCTACAGTGCAAAAATGTACCATGCAATATTGAACATATGTTCAGGCACTTAAGAACTGAACTTCATTTTTTTTTTTCTGATTATTTTTACTTCTTGTATTTTCTAATTTTGTTAAACCAGGCAAAACTTGTTTTAATATGAAGATAGGAAAAATCTTGGTCTGTTAATATATAACTATGTTTTAGTTCTTTAGCTATGCTGTACCTCAAAAAAAAATGTGGTTTCTCAGGGTGCTGTAGTCTGTCCTGGGTGCAGAATGATGCCACATCCTGGCTGAGAAGTAAGCAAGGGCGGAGGGAGGACGGTAACCAGCATGAACAGTTTGCAGTGAGCTCATTTACCTTTAACTCACAGAAAGAATGGCTGAAAGAATGGCTGAGGCTTCCAAGGAATCTGTTCTCATACAAAGTCAGCTGTTTAAATTTTAGCTTTTACAACCAATCATCTGAGTTGTGCTAAGGCAGTCGGTAGCTGAGTACCTGGTGTTTCCCTGGCCGTTTCAAACTGAGACGGAAAGTGCTTCCTTTCACAGAGTGAGATACTGGTGCTTTTATTATCAGACTAAATATACAGCTGGTATCAATTCTACAGTGGAAAGAAACAGATTTTATATTCATCAGCAAGTTTATGTATCAAGGCCACAGTCTAAGATGATGTTGAAGATTTTAAACTGAATAGTTACTTCTGTATCAATATTGTTAAAATAGAAGGGGTAGAGCTTGCATCTCTATAGGTTGTTTGTGTAAGTTGATCTAACGTTTATCCTGGGATTGGAAGGAAAGAAACTCTGAAAAACCTGAACAAGACAAGAAACTAATCCCTTGGGCCCAGAAGCTTACCTTGCTATCATAGTTCCTACCTTCTTTTGATACTTTTTCTAGTGTATTTTTCTATCTCACAGAAAGGACAGTAGGATAAATAATTGCAGGTGTAGGTATCAAATATGCCTTTACAATGTTTGTTTGTGTAAATCTCTGTCAGGAATTGCTGTACATCCAATCCAATTTCTTGGGATTGAAAGAAATTCTTTGTGATTCTGAAAAACTATGCTCCTGTTCCAGTAGGAGACCAGAAATGGTACTCACTTAAAGTATGATTACTGATAGGGGTAAGTGCTTGAACTGAATGAAGGGTTCTTAAGATTGTTTAGAAACAAATTCTGTGAAAATTATGTAAATGGTGGCTAGCAAAAGGAGGTGGGGGGGTTGTGTATGGCTTTACTTGGTTTTGATTGGGGGGGTGTTTGTTTTTTAAAAGCATTGCTCAGTGAATGGCTTCAAATGTCAGGTTTGGAATAATTATAAGGAGTAGCTTCTGAATAACCATGGCCTTCCCACATCACTGGGGAGTGGAGCACCAGAGTAGCTCTACTATGGAAACTTTTACCTAATGGCATTCTCTTCAAATATGTCTGTTAACTTCAGCAATTGGAAGTTGAGGGTTATCACTTAACTGGAGTGGAAGGTGATGTAGAAGTCTCCATGCAGTTAACTGAAAGAATGTAGCCAGATAGTCCCTGGCATGTGGCCAAGGATAAATGACTTGTCGGGACATCTTGGAATTGCTCTGCAGGTGTGCATACATTCTTTGCACAAAAATTACGGTCTGCTCAGGTCAGCTTCTTGGCCACTTTCTATTTTGTGTCATACCGAAAACAACCTTTCAAATCTTAAAAGTAGGGATGATCTTGATTTAATGGCAAGTACTCCAGACAATTACCGCAAGAGATTTGAGGTCCAGAAGCTTGAAAGCTATTGATGAACACTTCTAAAGCGGGGGAAGACCCCCAAACAAACAAAACACAGTTCCATAAAAATACATGAAGTTCTCAGTCTGTGTAAAGAATATCTCTCTCTGCTAGAATACCAAGGATGACTTGAGGTACTTAAGATAGTCAAGCCCCTTCAAAATAAATGGCGAGGGAGGTGGCTTGCCTTGCGAGGGCGTTTCTTGACCCTCTTAGTTGTCAGTCTTTAACTTCCAAGATTAGTAGTAATTACAGCTTTCATGTTTCCTCTCCTTTCAGGTTAGTGTGCTGTAAATCATTGTAATTGTATGTCCATTAGTTGTATGATTATAGTCTGTATTTAAGCTTTGGATTTTGTGGAGTTACACATTAATAGCACAGTGTCCCTAAGTGAAATTGTGGTGTTACGCTTCAAGCTGAACCACTTTCCATTTTACAGTTAATTGGGAAAAAGTAACCACTTCAACCACTTGGTACATCCGAGACTTTACATTCAGGTCATAAATTCAGCTGGCTTTCAGTATGCAAACTACTCAATTAAATACTCTTATTTTTCCAGGAGAAATTATTCATTGCTATAGTTTTTAATCCAAATAGACAAAAGCGTGTGTATTCAGATACAAAATTTGTGTGGCTTAATGTACCCTCAACTTGTTCACAACACTGGGCAGGAATTCTGGTTTATTTGCCAGAAAGTTGTTGCTCTGTGTAGGGTCACCCTGTCATTTAGCACCTTCTTTCTAGTTCCTGAAGTCTTCACTATCCCTGGTGTCTTGGTGACACTGAAGTCTGTAACTGGTTATGATTTCTTTCAGGTATTCTACATTGTATTCTATATGTTATTCAGGGGTGGTATTTTACAGTTTGTTTTTTTTTTTTCTGGAATTAATCTTCAGAGCAATTCAGTGTACATAACTTTAAAAAAAAAAAAATTGCCAGCTGTTTTAAAGCAAGTATGTCCTCCGGGTTTACTATAGCAAAAGTGCTTTTGAAAGCAACTCCTCTTGGGGAGGAACTACTCCAGCTTTTGTTATCTTAAGGAGAAGTTTGTCAGGCACTTAAAGGAGAGCAACTCATTGTATTTAACTGATCAACTGGACTGTCGATATCTGTCAGACATTCCATTTATTAGATTGTATGTGCATGTGTCAGGTCCTGTGTGCTTGTATTCAGTAGTACCACTTCAAATCCTTTGTTTGATGGTAGCTCTTGCTGCTTGTGTTTCAGAAAACTTTAGCATTTTACGATAGTCTGAGGGGAAAAAGTCATCAACTGGAAGTAGTGGGAGTAAACTGCAGAAATATTTACTAAAGGCAATCTAGTCTTACTCCATTTTTTAACACGCTATTAATGTCTTAGCAGTTCATATCTAACAATAAAAAAGTCACTATGCAGAAACATGAGATGTGTTTTGGTGTTAATTTAAGCAGGCTTTCTGTGGCGTGTTCACATTTCTTGTCTTAAGCTTAGTGCTGTAGTTATGTGGCTGTTTCAATTGCACATGAATCCTTGCTTCCATCAAAATATGGTACTGCTTTTTTTTACCTCTGGCCAGTTACTTTAGTATTTCCTATGCATTAAGGTCCTGATCATGCAAGTTTTTACTTTGTATAATGATCTGTAATTTCACATGCATTGGTCATCTTGACTGCTCGTGGAATTACTTAAGCAAAAAAATAAAGCACATGCAGAATTTTGTGGCATCGAGGCTAAAGCTCTGTAGCATTTAAAAGGCTGCTCTTCTGTTCTATAACTGTTGAAATGTTAGCCATGGGAGGTATTTTAATTTGTCAACATATGAGTGTTTATAAACAGCAGTCCAGTGTTCTTTCTTAACAGTAAACTGAATTGAAACTTCTATATTTGGATTCAGTGACTTCGGCTTACTTTAGTTTCAAAATTATAATTCGTGTGTTTATGTCGATGTGAGTATATTTTTAGTTTTTTGAAGGCTCGTTATTTTGGAAAATACTGATGGCAAAAGTAATACTGGTTTGCTTATTGATTCTGTGTATGAAGTTTGAACTGCGCAGTCTAATTTCGCTTTATGTGCAAGCGCTAAATAATGAATTAGAGGATCAGCAGGGAGGATTAAGGTGTAAAGCACAGGAAGTAAAATTTGGGAGGTAAAAACCTGAATTTTTTTTTTACTACCTATCAAACAATAAAAATACCCCTATACAAAGACTGTATAAGGCAAGGCAGCTTTTGTCTCAAAAAGTTAATTGTCTGTATAACAATGATACAGACAATGAATTACAGAGTGTTACCAAAAGAGTACAGATACTCCTTTTTTTTTTTTTTTTTTTTTTTTTTGTTAGTGAAGATGAGGGAGTCTGGTCTCGGCATATATGAAGCCTCTGAAATGTTCTTAATAGGTATCACAGAAGAGAGAAATCAAAATAGCTTCTCATCAGCTGCATCTGACTGATGATTAAACAATGAGTAAATATCAAAGGAGGTATTTACTCAATTTGTTTTAAAATTTACTGTTAGGTTTTTTCCATCTCTTCTGTTCATCTTGTGATTAAGTATGGTCTTTTCTAGAAGGCCAGTATTGTTTAATTTTGCGGTGCTGGCCACAGTTAACCAGATTCCTGCAAGTGCTCTTGTACATGTGAAACACATTCAAAATAGTGTTGCAAACTGACCAAATAGTTGAAGATCCTAAGTGTGTTGCTCCAGTTTTCTTAAATATTTCTTGTGTTCATGAAGTTTTAAAAAAAAAAAAAAAGTTGAATAGTTGTTCTGTGCCTACATGTGGTTACTGCAGCCTGTTGTGTGGTAGGAGGCACTTGATATAAAAATGGACTTTGTGAGGTGGCAGCTCCCAGGCTTAAAAAGCGTCTCTGGCTTGAATCTCGTGCTGCAACTGAAGATCCACCCTTTTATCTCTAATACAGAGTATTTCTGCAAATGTGGCATAACGTTCTTTACACAAACTTGAACTGTTTGGGGAATTCCTTAAGGCATTTTTTCAAGTATGTATTTTTTCCCATGCAGTATCTATTTCTGGCAAAGGCAAGTATGCATCACCGTTGCAATTTTGTAAATTATCCTGTCGTGTACAGTGTATCTTACTGGGGCTCATACTCTGGACCATTATAATGCTGAAAGTTGTTTGAAGATACAGAAAGCTTGCTTGTAGTCATAAACACTGCTATGCCTGTGTCTTGGGAAGTAAAAATGGGGAGAAGGGTAAAGTCCATTACAACATAACTTATAACCAATTATTTTCATTTTTCAGATGTTCCTCCTGCTGATCAAGAAAAGCTTTTTATCCAGAAGCTACGACAATGCTGTGTACTTTTTGACTTTGTTTCTGATCCACTAAGTGACCTAAAGTGGAAGGAAGTAAAACGAGCAGCTTTAAGTGAAATGGTAGAATATATCACACACAATCGCAATGTGATTACAGAGCCTATTTACCCTGAAGTAGTACATATGGTAAGTGATTTAACAATGAGAACTATTTTGAATTTTTTTAATTCACAGTTGCTTCTTCAGCTGTATCAATTTATCTTAAGGAATCTTATTGAAATCTTTAAAAAAGATCAACTATGTTTCCACATCTGTAAAATGGTAATATAACGGTGCTTTTAAATCCTAGTGCCACTGTTGATTCCTCTTCTTTGTCAAATAGAAACTAGACACATAGATGAAGCAAAAGTAAATTATGGTTTAAGTTGGTAAAAATTAATTTTTGTATTTAAAAAAAAGGGGGGGGTGTGTTGCTTTTCCCCCCCACAGACTTTTTTTGGAATAAGTGTTGGTAAAAATGGGGAGGAAAGTTAAATACATCTAGCTGTTAAAAAAATCCATGTAGATTGCAAAACTGAAAATTTGAAAAAAGCAATTATAAAAGATTAGAATTAAGATCACCTGTGCAAGCTTTGACAATCTTACGTACCAGTGATCAATTCTGTTCTGTATTCAGAGGTGGCAATGAGAGTCAGACTTCATCTGCCATCCTGTGTACTAAGTGAGGTTCTGCTGGGACAAGCTATGCAAACTGTTCAGACCTGTGTCTCCCTGCTCGCTATCCTACCCAGCTAGACCTGGTTTATTTTTCTATTGCACCTAAGTCCACTCCGGAGGAGGAGATGGTAATACAAAAGAGTCTTTCAGCTCTCATGGTGGTGACTAGCCACCAGTTGCCTCGAGCAGCAGTTGGGTTGAGGTCTTTAGCTGTTGTCTGCAATACACTGAGAACAGAAAGTATCTTTCAAAAAAGCTGACTACTAAGCCTATAAGAAGCTCTTGACTGTGTGTGTGACGTGATGTTTTTTCCCAAGACTTTATAGCTTGGGGTGAATTTTCAGGGGATGAGAAAACAGTGCATCTTTAACATAAATGTGAACTCAGTCGAATTTTGAGGTCCTCCTACAAATCAGAGACTTTGAAGCTTTTTCAAAGATTCTAAGGATTTATAGTACGAAAGACGTTGCTTACTCTGAATGTTGCTTGTTATCTAAATCAGCCGTAAGTGTTTACTGATACAAAAAGTTATTTTCATGAGAACTTCTGAATACATGAGAATTACGTATAACTCGATGTCAAACATGTACAGAAAGCATTGCGGATGGTTAATGAGGAGATGTGGGATCGTGGCTTTTCCCATGTCTTGATAGCTTATTTATATGTCTGGTTTTTGCTAATTGATTGCTTGTTTTCAAATACTTGACACTGGTGAAAGGGGAGTTATGAAAGAGAATAAGCTTGCTGAGACTTCATTTAGCTAAAATAGAGTTCTTGAGTATCTATGTCAGACATCAGTGTTTGCTCTGTGTAAGAAGTCTTAACTGCCCATAATTTCATAACTTTTGCCTTATGTGCCTGCATTATCTTCCTCCATCAAACAGTTATGGCCAGAATACATTTGGCTGAGGAGAATGTATACTTTCTTTGCTTTCAGATGCAATTAATGGTAATAAAGTCTGCACCTTGGTCAGTTTAATAAATCTTGGGGCAGAATTTGGCTGCTACCTTAATTGCCAGTGTTTTGCTGGGAGCACACAATACTTGACAGCTCTTCCAGTGAATTTAAAAAGGTTTTTATGTGCAAGGTTCTAAAGGGTGCAGGGGTTCATTGCATGGGGCTTATACAAGCACTGTGATAGACACTATCAGTGAAGGCACCTGGACTAGTATTTTGAGGTTAAATTCAGATAGCAATTTTGTTAGGCTGCTTTTATGGAACAATTTTCTTTTGGTCATCTGTTCTAAAACAACTGTATTCCTTCTGCAGTAATACTACCAGCCTCTTTCTTTCAGGCATGTGTGTGTAGAGTTGAGGTGTACTTCTGCTAGAGTTCTAGTGGTAGATTTTGAGTTAATTGTGTGGATTTTAAGGAAAAATAAATCTGATGCCTTTTTGTACTTTAAGACTCTTCTAAGAGACATTGATAAGTTGTGTGCTGATACTGCCACTGAACTATATTAGTAAAGAGTAGTGTTTTCAGTAAAATTATGAGAGTGATCAAGAAATACCAAGATTTGAGAGTGGGTTTGCTTTGGAAAGTTTGTGGAGTTGGTAGGTGGCATGGGAGTTAGGACTGTACAGTGCCATTCTGTTCATCAGTACAATTAGGAGGTTACTCATTTATGTATGAGTATATATAGATACACATGCATATATGTGTGTGTATATAGTCTTTGTTTGGTTTTGTTAACATATTAGTTAGGCCAAACACTTAGGGTGATGAATTTCACAAACTATCTGTTTAATAATAATAAAATAATATTTTTCCTTTTCAATAGCTTCAAATCTGCTTTCTCTCTGACAAGAGAAGCACCTACCTTATCTGCTGCTTCTTTATTCTTTATAATTCTAGTGCTCATACCGTGTCCATCCACCCCACCCTCACCCTTCTTTTTTTGCTTCAAGTGTCCTGGGCTAAATTATTATAAGATCTTTTCTTTAAGCTATATATTAATCTAGTGGCTTAGTTCAATTATTTATTGTTAATAATAAGTCTGTATTTCAAGAGATATGAGAGCAATTAATTTCTAAAATGGATTTAATGTTATTTTCCAGAGTGGATCCAAGAGTTTCTTCCCTTTCTTTGTCAAAGAGCCAGCTGACATGTCCTTCAAATTCCCTTTACACTTGTAAGCAAAGATGTGATGGGAAAGGAAATGTTTTTATTAAACGCTTGTATAACAAGTTCCACTTCTCAGGTATAATATAGTAAGGTTGGACTGATTAGCCTCAGACCAGTAACTTGCCTTTTCTCAAAATTATAAGACATGTAGTCAAATATCTGAATAAATCTTACAAATGTAAATGATAAATTTAGGTTTATTGATCAAAAGCGTCTGTTAGAGATTCTTATTTAGAAAAGAATATATGCTATTATTTTTTAAGCTTGGCTTTTGAAGATGACAGGGCTTTGAGAATTTTCTGTAGCGCACTAGTTTGTCAGAACCACAGACACTTAGGATATTCATTTTGTGGAACTTTGGGAGAATTGCTAGCTATGTAGAATACAGACCCAAAGTAATGCTGCTTTCTATCTGAAGATGAGTAATACCTGGATTGTATCTGTTTTAAGTGGGGCTTTGAAAGTGAACATCAGTATGAATATTCATTTCCCTGGCTAACCAGCCAGAGGGTATTGGAGAGAGCTGAGAGGAGGCTCGGGCAGTACTGGTTGTGGAGATGGAGGGTTGTAGTGTTCTGAGAAGGTAGATCAAAAGCTTGTATAAATATGGCTTGCTTACTTCTGTAGTGCTCAGGATAATTTCCTTAGTAGTGATGATGATGGTGGATGGTAAATTAACATTTTTGTGAAGCATATAGGCTAATACTACTTTTAAAACTTTAAAAGTAGGTATTTTCAGCAACTGAAGCAGTTTTCACTGCAACTTTTCATGCATTATGCAAATGAAATTGCATACTGGGTTACACACATGGGAAGGTTGGGACTGGCTTTTTGTTTTGTGGTGGGGTTTTTTTGGTTTTGTGTTTTGTTTTTTTTTTTTTTTTTTTTACTATGATCTTTCGTCTATGCACTAGGTTTGCATGGCAAGGTTTTAGTAGTGGGGGGGGCTACAGGGGTGGCTTCTGTGAAAACCGGCCAGAAGCTTCCCCTATGTCTGACAGAGCCCATGCCAGCCAGCTCCAAGACAGACCCACTGTTGGCCAAGGCCAAGCCCATCAGCAATGGTGGTAGTGCCTCTGGGATAACGTATTTTAGAGTGGGGGGAAAAAACTGTGCAACTGCAGCTGGAGAGAGGAGTGAGGATATGTGAGAGGAGCAGTCCTGCAGACACCCAGGTCGGTGCAGCAGGAGGTGCTCCAGGTGCCAGAGCAAAGATTCCTCTGAAGCCTGTGGAGGCCCACAGGGGAGCAGATCTCCACCTGCAGGCCAGGGAGACCCCACACTGGAGCAGGAGCGTGCCCAAAGGAGGCTGTGACCCCGTGGGAAGCCTGTGCTGGAGCAGGCTCCTGGCAGGGGCTGGGGGCCTGTGGGGGGGGGGGCCCCGCTGGGGGAGGTTGCTGGCAGGGCTGGTGGCCCCATGGGGGACCCATGAGACTGCACCCTGGCGGAGGGACCCCAGGCTGGAGCAGGGGCAGAGTGTGAGGAGTCCTCCCCTGAGGAGGAAGGAGCAGCAGAGACAGTGTGTGATGAACTGACCCCAACCCCATTCCCTGTCCCCCTGCGTCGCTCAGGGGGAGGAGGTAGGGAAAATGAGGAGTGAAGTTCAGCCTGGGAAGAAGGGAGGGGTGGAGGGATGGTGTTTTAAGGTTTGATTTTATTTCTCATTATCCTACTCTGATTTGATTGGTAATAAATTAAACTGATTTCCCCAAGCCAAGTCTGGTTTGCCTGTGGTGGTAATTGCCGAGTGTGATCTCTCCTTGTCCTTCTCTCAACCCAGGAGCCTTCTGTTATATTTTCTCTCCCCTGTCCAGCTGAGGAGGGGGAGTGATAGAGCAGCTTTGGTGGGCACCTGGCGTCCAGCCAGGGTCAACCTACCACAGTCTAGAATAAGAGATGTTGCTGTGAGTAGAAGTGTGCTACTTGTGGCTCTATTCAGCTATTAGAATAGGTTTACTCACATGAATATAGAAGGCACAGACTTTCAGATTATATAGCTTGTCATTCAAAGTTGTTCATGTTGGACTTCGCTCAGGCTGCTCAGCAGAAGGCAGAAGAAAATGTGTGATGATATCTTTGATGCTTATTTGCTTGAAAATATTCTCCAGTGTTGTACAAAATGGGCCACCAGAAAAGCAGGGTGCGTAACTGAAGCATTAAAAATGTAGGCTGTTTGCGTTTCCTTTTTTATTCTCCCATCCTTGTAAGTCCCATCCTTTGGAGTCAAGTAGTGTCAGCGCTAACAGCACACAGAGAATTTTGGTACGCTAGTCCAATTTTCATAAAGACTCAAATTTCATAAACTGGGCAGGGGGAGTGTGTGTTTGAGGAGGGGATGTGTTTAAATTATGCTATATTTACTTAGTACTTCTGTGGGAATTTGGCCTTAGAGGAAATTGGACTTTGCAGCTTGTGTCTTGTTTATATGGGCAGAAGACTGAGACATTAGGAAAAAGATGAGCCATTTGATGACAGAAAGGTAAAGGTCTCACTGATATTGATAAATTGTAAATTTCAGTTGCTTTAATAGACAGGAGTTTCAAGTTTGTGCCTTCACCTAGAGATGCTATACCTTGATTTGAGCAGTTTGTGTTCTGTTGGACAAGGATATAAAACCCAAACCAGATCAAATCAGGCTTCATTGGTTCCATTGCTCATAGAATAAATTTTTCTGGTTTGGGGTTCTACCTCTTCCCATTTGAATTCTCAAAAATAAAAAACAGGAAACTTTGTACTTAACACCTTACATGAGGTGTGTGTTTTTTTTTCTTTATAGCAAGAGCCTGAGACTTTCTCATCTAGAAAATGCTGATTATTCTTCCATTTGCTTAACAACCTTACCAAGTTCTAAATTTAAAGTCTAGTCTTTCTAGGTTTCTTTTCTTGGAAGACCAATGATTAATGTAAATTTTCACCATATGTTTTAAAACAAAGGTTGGAGGATGTCAGTTGCTTGATGCCCATGCAGAAATTTTTAAAAGGGGAGCATAAACATATTTTAGCTTTACTTTTAATTTTCTGAAATAGTAATTACTCTGATATGCCAGTCTCATTATGTATCAGACCTACATCTCAGTTGCTGAAATGAAGAAGCATTCTGAAGCAAAACAGAGCATGAGCATGACTTTTCCTTCATGGGAGTATGATGTAATTCTTGCGGATTTAGCTGATGCAGTTTGATACTGCCTCCCACTGTCTGCTCTGCCATCTGTCAGATGTGAGATGGCAGGACAGCACATACATATGCTCCTTAGCCCTGCCAGTTAATAGGTAATTCACAGCATTATTTTAAACTGTGAATGGAGGTGTTAATGAGAAGAAGTCGGAATGTGAAGAGGGAAACATGACATTCTGTTGCTTTTCCCAGAATCCCACCAAAGATGGGTGGAATGCATTCCTCTGCAAAGCAGCATCTTTTAAACTGAGACAGCTTAATCTTTCAGAGCTTTTGAGTAATCTTTAAATTATCAGCAAGAAAGCTTTGATGCTATTAAAAAAAAAAAAAAAGACAAAAACCTCCAAACCAAGCCAACATACAAAAACAAAAAAAGAAACCCTCAGTAAAACCTGAGAAAAGAATAAAAATGTGTGTATGGCTCATGTGATATTTCTGTGATGTAATTTGAACATAACAAAGACTGAAATTGTGGCATAAAGAATAGATTTTAAATGTGATATTGGAGTGGACCTTGCATTCTGAATAGCTACATTATAAGTAAACTCAAACTTGTAGGGTTTAGGTTTTTTTCCTTAAATTGAGCTGTATTACACACTTGTTGAAAGCACAGGAACCTTTCAGCTGATGAAGTAAATAAAATGTTCTTTTGCATCCTCAAATAAGACATTCAGTTCACTGCAAGTTCCAATAAGAGTAATCTGTTTTGGGGGAGGGGGGATTTTTTTCCTAGCTGGTCCTGGAGATGCCCTGTACTGGCATGTTTGCTGAGCCAAGTACTGGTTTTCTTGAAAAGGCTCTGTAAATGTTTCTGCTGCTCCTGGTGATGTAGCCCTTTGCAAAGAATTTTCTTTTTCCTGGCAAATCAGGTTCTCTGCCCTGTTGTCTCTTACTTTGCCAGACTTAAGAAATGTATTCTCAGATTTTCCCCTAAATATTTGCAAGAAGACACCTCCGATCTATTACAGCAATAGAATATCAATAACAATGTATAGGTTAACTCTTACCAGTACTTGTGGTACATATTTAGAACGGAATTTATGTACGCCTTATGGTGAAGCTCCATGCAGTCAGCTGCTGCTGATTTGATAAATCAGTTTTGTGTAGGGTGTAGATCTCCTTTCAGTGTAGCCACCATTCTCATTGTGAGCAAATTTACTTTAAAATATCTTAGTGTTTTTATAAAGCACAAAATGGTCTCTGTATTTGAAAGCAGAATTTACTTTAGTGTTACGAGTAGGAATAGACTTGAAGATAACTTATTTATGCAGCCTAACATACTCAAATGTTATGAAGGGTTAGGACGGTACCCCACTATGGTTTTGTTTCAGCAGTCTTCTCATCGTTTCTGCAATGTGTTCAAGCTGCTGAGAGACTGAGGCATTTGTCTCAAAGGATCATTTTGAAGTGGTGCGGACAGTTTGAGACCATATACTAATTTGAATTTATCTTTATTTTTTTTTATTCTGTGCAAAAATAAGTTTAGACTGCTTGCTACTGGCTTGATAATGAGTAAGCAACAAAATAGAACAAGAAAGTCTCTCTGTCGGGTGTACTTAGGTGGCTAAATAGATTACGTTCTTCTGCTTGCTCAGTAATTTGGTTGTCTCCTACCAATGTCTGCCCTACCTAATACTGCGGATTACAAGTGGAATTGAGGAATTATTCTCTTTTCAGTACTGACAGTCACAGCTGTCTTGCATATACAGATAAAAGGCTTTTTCAGGTTTTCTTACTGGCAAGCACAGAAACCTGTTCCCTCCAAGTTGCTCATAAACTTTTAATCATTAACTCCTCAGGGTGTGAGAACAACCATTTCAATCACTAGCTAGTTGTTCCTTTCTTGTCCTCAGAGAAGCCAACTCATTTTGCTAGCTATCATTTCAGGTGGAGAATTTAAGGTACTGCAGACTTTTTAAATCTTTGCACAATTCTAGGTAAGGTTACTCTTGAGAATGCATGCTAAATTTATCCCGAAAATCATGTAAGATTCTTTCAGCCAACAAATACATTTTACTTTGCATTTGCGATTATATGCATTGTATAAGTTGATAGAAATGTAATTATTTCTGCTTATATATGTTTTTGTTTTTAAAAAATTCAGGCTACATGTGTGTAGTGATGAGGTGGTTGTGCCTAGAACAGGACCTTGTAGAAAAGTTTTCTGTCCATATAACAGGGAATGGGATTTTGTCTTTATTTGGGACTTTGAAACTCTTCATGTTAGAGGGGTTTGTGAAGAGTAATACTTTGGTTCGTACATAGTATGAATGTGCATCTAGACAAGCACTTGGAAACACAAAAATAATGTATCTGTGTATATATCAACAACTTGAAAAGTAATTTATCTTTGTAGTCTGCTCCACTTCCATGAGGATGCTAAAACCATTTTTAGGGGCTTGAGTATTCAGGTGAAGTGAAAGATTAAAGGATTAGGATGTGCATTTCCCCCCCTCAATGCTCCTGTGGTGTCAGGTAGATGGATGTTGTTTAAGAGAAATACCCCTAAGAGGGGAAGGGAGGAATTTGGTTTTGAAGTGTTTCCTTGTGTGTATACCCATGGTGTGAAACTGATAATATTTTACAGAGCATAACAGTTGTGCGTAATCTTTGTTTTGCATCTCTGCTCCTTACTTCCACTTTTGCAGGTCATTGCAATGTTACATATATATATTTATATATTTTTATATATATATATATAAAATGCTTTTGTAAACATTTTATGTACATTTGTCTGGGCTTTTAAAAATGTGTGTAAAGAGATCAGAGCAATATCCTCATAAAACATGTACTGACAGTAGGTTTGTGCTTTAAAGAGTACTGCGTGTAAAAGTGTTCTCCAGGTTAGAAATCTTTAAAGAAGGATGTACCTCATTATTGTTTAAACTTACATAGGTTGTGGTTTTGCAAATATTAATTAAAATAGTCCATATAAAAAATTCTTGGTCAAACCAATCTTTTTTAAATCATTAGCTTGTTTCAAAGTTCTTAAAGGCACATGTGATTTCAGTTTGCAGTTAATATGTTTCGAACATTACCACCATCTTCCAATCCAACGGGAGCAGAATTTGATCCAGAGGAAGATGAACCAACCTTAGAAGCTGCATGGCCTCATCTACAGGTATTTAAGGAAGACTAGGAAGTCATAGTCTAACAAAACTTTGACATTAAATTCATTGTTTATTGACTCAAAATTGTTTCGTTTGTGTTTCTCTCAAGTCAATTACATTTCTCTGCAATATTTAAAATATTTCTTGACTTTAAATTGATAATCTTTGAAAAAAATGTTCAGTTAGTACATTAGAGGTTCAAGGCTTGTTTCTTGTGGTACAGATAGAACTGCTTTGGTTTTAAATGAGCTTCAGTTTGTCACTGTGATTGCTTTGATCTAACTCTGGCACAGCTCTAGCTCTCAGAGGTACTGTGACAAATGGAGAACAGAGAATTTTCAAAACATGCACTTCTGGGCATGGTGAATATTAGATTACTGTATGTCATTTGAGTAAAATCTCGTGATGGAACTCAGCAGAATTTCAGTGCAGTTTAAAGAACCTTAAGTTCTTGTACTTTGTCAGGAGAGCAAGAGTAAAGCTTTTACTATGTGGTATATAAATAAATATAAATAAAAACATAGTGCAGTTCTGAACAGCTAATCAGTAATTTTGGTAGTGTGCTGGTTATAAAATGGTTCCTTGTTTAAATGACTAATACTAATTTTTGTTGGGTTTTTTTCAGCTTGTTTATGAATTTTTCTTAAGGTTTCTAGAATCTCCAGATTTCCAACCTAATATAGCTAAGAAATATATTGATCAGAAGTTTGTATTACAGGTAAGGTAAAACAAGAATTTTTAACTTCAAGCTCTAAATTATTTTACAATGCATAAGATTCAAGTAAAGTGCATATCTTCTTTTCCTTCTTCGCAGCTTTTAGAGCTCTTTGACAGTGAAGATCCTCGTGAAAGAGATTTTCTTAAAACAACTCTTCACAGAATATATGGGAAATTCTTAGGCCTAAGAGCTTACATCCGGAAACAAATTAATAATATATTTTATAGGTATGTCAGTATCTTTGTATTATGGTGCATGTGATCAGGTATACAACTAAAAATACTCACAAGACACTGCTAGCAATTTTTTTAATTCTTACTAAGTTTATACCCAATATTGCTCATCTAACAATAATTAATACTCATCTGGGAGATTTAAATTGGAGTAGTCTTGCACACAGTGTAAATTTGGCAGCTGAAATTTGAGTTTGTATGTGATTCAGTAGGTGGTTTGGTATCTTCATCTGTGAGGCTCTTTATCTTACTGGGTAGTACTATTGGGGAGTAGTGTATGCATTACAGTAGTACCTTAATAAAAAGTAGTTCTTCGTAATGCAAATGACTGAGAGATCTGGAATTTGCTTGAAGGAACATATTTACTGCCTTTTCTTTCCTCAGAACTGAACTGCACCATTTCGGGCTCATGAAATATTTTTTAATTGCCACAGAATAAACTGTAGTATTATCTCTGATACAAAAAGTGTAAAGATGAACAATTAATCCAATGTATTACCAAAGGTCTTTTATTAGAAGTGTGGTTTTACTGCCATTGTGTCAAGTGTGAATGCAAGATTATGGTGCCTTTTTTTCAGTCTTAGTTTTGGTATGCCTCTCTTTTCTACAAATAATTGTGGTTTACACTTGTTCCATCCTGCATCCCTTTTACTCTGCCACTGTTGTTTTCATCTCAGAATGAATGTACCATGCTACCCCTTTAAGAAAACAGCAAAAAGCTGCCACATGCTCTGTGCCATCTCATGAATGGCACCCAGCGGTATCAGCTGTAGAGGGAGCTTATCTTCCCTGTCTATGGTAACAAGTAAGCTTTTAGAAGAGATACAGAAGGGCTACTTTAAAATAACTAGTAAGCCTTCACTGTCTTGCAGACAACTGCTCTTGACTGGATGTGTCAAGAGCTAGTATGTCCTAAGGAAAGAGTACAGGTGTATCTTTCAGAGGTAAACTTTTTTCCCCCCACACACAGATTTTATTAAATTAATTCCGAAATGTTGTAAAATATCTGAACCAGATGGTACAATAGCATCACAGCACATTCTAATGCACTTTTGAAGAGTATTTTTATTTGCCACTTCTTGATCTTTACTTTCAAGGATAATGGAAGCAAAGTCTTCAAACACAAATAGTTCTGGTGCAAGGCTTTTGAAAGACTGAGAAATGTTCTGGTCATTAGATCAACTTTGTAATACTTTGTATAAAAATATGTTTTCAATCTGAAATGTATGTGGGACATAATATAACTTCCACTGTAGAGACTACCTTTCTCTACCAAGTTGTAGGGGGAAAAGAATTAAGCAGAAATCCTTGCTTAGTTGTATAATATTTAGGTGCTAGAAGTTGAAACACTTTGCATCCAAATGTAAACTAGTGTTCCTGGATATGAGCACCAGGGAGGAAAGTTGTTTCAACTTCTGTTTCAAATTAGTGGATTGTGCATGATAAGCTCTTAAAGTATGTGTAGAATTTCTCAAAATATTTCCTTTTCTTATACTTTTTCCTGCAAGTTATCAGTTTGTTACTGTGCTTACCTAAGAAATGTGTGGTCTTTATTTGTCTTTTAGTCAGTGACCGGAATTGCATGAATTCTCTCCTGATAGTACATTAATCTTCTTTTTTTCTAATGTAAAATACATTTTTTTTAAAAAATCAGTAAAGCAGCATGTTCCTGTTAATTCAGTCCAAAGGTTTTTGTATCGTTTATCCTTAGTTTTGCTTGGAATTGTTGTCCTGAATTATATGAAAGGGGGTCTTCAAGGAGAAAAAACAGTTACATCAAATATTCTAGATTAAAAGTAGCTGTCAATATCTCAGTCTATGACAAATTTTCAAATAGAAGAATATTTTCTAATTAGTGGAATTATTTTCTTAAAAGTGTAAATTTTTATAACTATTTGGAAAATACCTGACGTTGTGCGTAGAACTTTCTCAAATTTACACTCAGGCAATTGGGAAGAAGGGTGGAAAGGTGATTGCCTAGTAAATTACAGTGCTCTATCAAAAGAAAATTCAGGAAAATATTACTTCCTCTGTTTATTACAGAGCCTTTTGTATGCACAGAAGTCTGTAATGCCAAAGAGCCTTTCAGATCCATAAGTAGTAACCGTTCGAACACCTTGTGCTTACATGCGCTATAGGAGGTTGAGTCATGGCATTTATTATGCCAGATGCTCTTGTGTTATTTTAATTTTTAAAGCGTTGTTTGCTGTGTTCAGTTTTGTATTATTTAAATGGCATAGAATGTGATTACTGGAAAAAGTTCAAGTGCGTGCTGCTTTGTTAAATGTGGGAGAAAAGAGCAAGCAAGTGTGAATGTTGAAAGCAGCTTAATGTGCTATTATTGATTTATGTTTCCACAAAGTTTCTTTTCCACTATGTGTTTGTTTTCTTTTTACTGAGTGACTGAAACCTGGGAGGTCAAGGCTACCTGTTGGATGGAGGTCTTGGTGTTAGAGTTGTATCTCTCTTCACCAGTAGCTGAGTAAAACTTCTCATTTATTTAGGTTTATTTATGAAACAGAACATCACAACGGCATAGCAGAATTACTGGAAATACTGGGAAGGTAAGTTGTAAGTTCTGTTTAATTAAACTCGCTTAGTCTTCAGAGGAGACTTTAAAAATCAAGTTGGGGATTGCAGATTGCTTTGAGACAAGATTAAAATAGCTTCATATAATGTGGCAAAGCTGCAACAAAGCAAGTAAGTTTTGTGTAAGATTGCAGAAATACAGCAAAAATTTGAAGCCTGTGGCAATGTTTTGGGATGTAAACATTTTTTAAATATTTTAATCTTATTTTTTAGCTTAGGATCCTTGTAATTAATATTAGTTGTAACTAATGTTACATACATGTAATTTATTATTAATGACACTTATTCAAAAATTCTTCCAACATCACTAAATGCATAGCAGATAAACAAAGGAAGCACGGGTTATGAAACTTCATCAGAATCCCATTGTATAGCAAACTTTAGTGATGCATCTGAAAGCACTTGAAACTAAAATTTTACAACTGAAAGCCTTGTCAAAACCAGTGGGTTTTTATTAACTGATTTCTCTAATCCATGTGCAAGCTTTTGGTTTTTATGTTAATACACTTTAAAAGCTTAGTTAGGTTTACTTTATGATGTTTCCATATTTTTGCACATAAAAGTAACAGATCAGCGAGAGCAGGTTGCTCAGCGTACAACCAGATACAGTATGGTCAGGCTTTGGATATCTCCAAGGATTGAGAGTCCACAACCTCTCTGGGCAACGGGTTCCCATGTTTGACCATGCTCACAATAAAAAGGTGTTTTTCTTACTTTGAATGAAATTTCCTGTGTTTCAATTTGTGTCAGTTGCCTCTTGCCCTTTCATTGGGCACCACTGTGAAGAGTCTGACTTTTTCTTCTTCCCGCCATCCCTTCGGGTATCTGTTACACATGGGTAAGATCCCCCCAAGCCTTCTCTTCCCCAGGCTAAACAGCTCTCAGCCCTTCTTTGTATGTCAGTTGCTCCAGCCCCTTCATTATCTTCATGGCACTTTGCTGGACTCCCTCCAGTACGTTCACATCTGTCTTGTCCTGGGGAGCCCAGCACTGGGCCAAGTGTGTCTCACAAGGGCTGAGCAGAGGTGAAGGATCACTCGACCTGCTGGCAATGCTGTTCCTAATGCAGCCCAGAATGCTGTTGAAATGGGAAAGATGTTTTAAAATTTTCTAGGTCTATGTGTCTGCCCAGAATAGTTACTTAATTTTCAATGAAATGTTCAATGATTAAAGGAGTTACATATCCATCATTATTTCAACATACTATAATCAAGTAATACTCGTCAAGATATACCGAAGACTGTAAAGCTTAAATATTAGGATATGGAGCTAAATCTTCAAAACTGATACTTAAGTCACCAGCTTTTTCATTCTTGGTTTTGTTAGATTAGTTTTAAGTGTTACAAATTTAAAAGTTAAGTTGTTTTTTTTCCCCTCAGGCTTCCAAATCAAAATATCTTTTCCTGTGCTAAGTGCTATATAATACTGGACCAATGAACACTTCAGTAGGAACTACTAATGTGGTTATGACTTTTCTGATAATCATCTCTTGACAAGATTGCAGAATTTCTTCACACTCAATCGAGGCCAAACTTGCCCTACAATTCTGCTTCTCTTTGTGGTTAACAACCCTTAAAATATCTTGGAGAAAGTTTGTTTGTTTTTTTTTTTTTAATGAAGTTAATGTATATTTGTTGAGTATGTGGAAGTTGTGGCAAGAACACCATAGAAATGTTGATGTAGAAATGGGATTTTGATATTATGCGCAGAGAGACTTCAGGAGGAATAACCTCATATCCTCAAAATAGTTGTGCAGTCATTACTAGTGAAAATTATTTTAAGCATGCACAGCAATGGTGAGCAAATGTTATTTAGCAGGCTTTAATTCTGGGACATAATCTGGTTTCTGAAATCTGAAATATATGTAACTTTGGATTTTTTAATGTTTTTTTAAGATAAGTTTGGCAGGTTCCTTTTGCCTGGGTGCCTTCTGTCCTTGTTGGTTAAGAGAAAAGCATTAGAATGAATAAAATAGGATTTAAAATAGGAAATGGGCAATAAGATTCTGGATGTTTTAACTGATGTTAATGCTCGCAAAGTGAGTGAACACAAAACACTGTTCTAGTTATGTGGTTTTAGGTAAAGGTGCCATTGGCCCAGTGTTGAGCCATATCTGCACTCACCTGGAACTAGGGTGTCATGTGTTGAGGTGCCATTTGGTTATACCCCTAGGGTCTCTGCAGAAATAGTAGTATTAGCAGAAGTCATGTGTTGACTTGTCTGCTGTCCTGGATTGATCTCTTCTACGTCCAGTCTCTAGTTCATTCTTTAATTCCATGAAGTAGCTGGGAGAAATAAGTGTTCAAAGCTTTGATGACAGTGAATAGTTCATCGTGAAAGTTGGAATCTAAAGTGTAGATACAGTCATATATGTTGCTTTGAAGAAGAATTTGGGAGCTGTGAAAGACTTGGGTGAAGGATGGACAGAGGGTGATTTGACTATTCTATTAATTTATAATCTTTAGAGAACTGCATCAAAAATTAAATAGTGTCTGGTGCATGCTTAATGTTTAAATTTTCCTGTTGCATCATGTTCTCTAAGAGATTACAAACACATGCAATGAAAGCAAGGGGTTTAGTATTTCCTATTACAGTATGCAGATTTTTGCATTATTTCTGATTTTTATTTTCAAATTTCTTTCTCTGGCAGCATAATTAATGGATTTGCCTTACCATTAAAAGAAGAGCACAAAATATTTCTATTGAAGGTTTTGTTACCATTGCACAAAGTGAAATCACTCAGTGTCTACCATCCACAGGTAAGTTTTGTTCAGCACTTTTCATACTAGTGTTAAAGTAAGTTTGCCTAGAGATGTCAGGAGAGTCTAGTCATTGACGTGGATTCTGTTCTAAGCTCCAACGTTTCACTGCTAAGTGGCCTTGGGGAAATTATTTAATATATGTGCCTATACTGCTTCACTTGTTGGGGGGGCAGAGGGGCACATATATATGTGTGTGTGTATATAAATAAATAAATACCATTTTTAAAAGCACTGTAGTGTTTATAGATGGAACTTACAAAGTAGTTGATTAATGTGAGAGTTCTTGATACTTATCCACACACAGGTTTTTTTATCTTGTTCTTGTCTGTAACGTTTAGACATACGTAAATTGCAGAGAAGTATGAATGTCATCTATAAAACTACATGGACAATTTCAGCTAAATTCAATTTCTTAAAGCTGTTGATGTTTCGAAACTAATTGGGCCTTTACTAGGACATGATTATTTAAATCAATAGATCTTTTTAGAAGTACACATTAAAAAGGGGGACATCTGAGTTGTATTGTGCTTTTAAATGCATTATAGCTTTTCTGTGCTGAGTTTTCATTCCATTCAGAATTCCTAGAGGAGTGGGAAATCATACACAATTAGAGAAAACACAGTATTATTGTGGTAGGGTGAAATTTTCTCCATGAGAGTTTGTTACACAGCATTGTTTTTATAATTTAAAGGTTCAGTATTTTCTATGGAAGTTTTAGAATACTCAAGTTTTAAGAACCATTTCTTCAAATAAAACTAATAACAACTTGTATTTTTAAAAACACCATATGTATAATTACAATTCTGTAGCAATTAGAGATGCTTATAAGCATTTGCTTTGGATCTTGCCTACTGGGGCTGACATCAGTTCCTACTGAAATGTGGTAGGCTGAGTGGCTCCCATTTCAAAAGTTTTTCTTTTTTTTGTAATGCTATGAACATAACCTGTTGGGGTGTGGCCAGTCAGACCTTTCTCTCCACTAGTGCAGACATCTGTGATCACCTTTTCTTCTACCTATCTGAGATGGATTGGTCTTTATCTATTCCCCGTACTTCACAAACTATTTCTCAAAAACCTTCAGGTGATTTGTGTTCCTTATTACTATTAGTAAAAAGAAGATAGCAACACAGGGATGTCTCTCTCATATGTCCTACTAAATAAAATAGGAAGGCACTTCAAGTCAGCTTAGCATGTGAAAAACCACAAAAATTCACATTGAAAAAGTGGCAGATATTCAGAAGGATTTGCTGCCAAATCCAGATATATATATGAAGAAAGCTAATGCCTATATTTAATTCAAATTTATTTTATAATAGTGGAGAACAGTAGATGTAATAATCTTTGTACATTCCTCAAATTACCTAGGGACATTCTTGGTAGCAGTCATCAAAAACAGGAAAGGAATTGGGCTCATCAGCTGGACTTCCATAAATGGAGAGACCTTAGAAAAATGGTTAAACAGTTCATGAGGTGTGCAGTGGTCCTCCCATTTACATTTGGACTATTGGCCAGTCGAGTGAAAGGGATGTTCACCATTTAGGCACAGGTACATAGTCTCATCCTCAGAACTGAAGTTGGTAAATACTGTAATTCAGCCTCAGCTTGCACCAGCTTTACACTGATACGCATATATACATACAATGATACTAAGTTATCATTAGTTCTCATATATATTGAAAATCCTAAGATTTACAGCTGTTCAATGCATTTTTAACTAACCTGGGTTATGAAGTAGAAAATAGTTACTAAATCAGCATGGGACACCAGAATGTTAGTGGAAAGCACTTTAAAGAACAAGATTGTGATTTATTTTTTTTTTTTTTTTTTAAATCCTGTTTGAAAAGATGAAATGTGCTGAAATGCAAAGTACTAGGTTTAAAAAGAAAACATAAAATTACATATTTATCTGTATTATAACCCAGAAAAAGGTGAGGACAGACTTGGGAAGGTTGGGGAGAGTGGTAAAGTGTATTTACCCTTTTGTTTAAAGGGTTTGTCAAGTAATTTTTGTAAAATTCCAGAAAAATTATTGTGGATTTATTTGAATTCAGTAGTGTTTTCCACTTACGCTAGTGATTTCAAAGTGTGTTTGGTTTCACAGTGTGCATTAATAAAAATCTTTTTCTTTTACTGTAGCTGGCGTACTGTGTAGTTCAATTTTTAGAAAAGGACAGCACACTTACAGAACCAGTAAGTTTATCTTGCTATTATATATTTTGGAATATTGATACCTCTTTCATCTGTAGACTGTATCAGGAGGTTTTGGGAACAAAGTATTGATATGTAATTGTTTTTATTAGGAAGAGTCAAATATTTAATTTTGATCTGGCAGATTCAGGTTTTCCAACAGTAGTTCAGAATGTCCAAAACTAATTAAAACAACGTTAAGAGCGTACCTCTTACAAACAAACCAGAAGTTATTGTGCTTATTTTGTTCTGGCTGACTGGATATGAGATGGTTGATTCAGAAAGAGTTTAGTCAGAAATGAGCTTGCCTGAACTCTGCTCTGTTGAGAGACTGATGTTACGATGGAACACAGATTTCTGGTGCGTGGAGCTACCTACTAATGCAAGGCTTTTGAGTCAGATCCTGTTCGTGTCTACCAAGTTTGGACCATAGACAAAACCAGACTTTGGTTTACATAATTGCATAGATAAATACTTGCAATTGTCCTTGATACTATATAGTGTTTTGCATCATTACACCCAATATTAAGTAGATAAGGACTAATATGTTTAATCAGTAAGTAGCGATCAGTAAAACTGTTGCTACTAACAAGTGCACGTTATTAGATTATAACCATTTCCATTGTAAAATGGAAACTGGGATTCTTGAAACAAATTGAAGTATGCAGCTGAGCAAGAGCTCTCTTCTACTTGGAGCTTTTAATATTTGTTAAGATACCAAATCTCAGACATTCTGTCATTCATGCTGTGTGAGATTTGAAATCTTATCTTAGCTTTCTTCCAAGCATCAGCTAGGCTGTTACGTATTTCCTAGTACAAGTCTGAAGTAAAACACATC